ATTCTTTGCCTCAGCCTCCCAAGTAGCTGGGATTACAGGTGTCCACCATCACGCCCAGCTAATTTTTGTATTTTTAGTAGCAACAGGGTTTCACCATCTAGGCCAGGCTGGTCTTGAACTCCTGACCTCATGATCCACCCAACTTGGACTCCCAAAGTGCTGGGATTACAGGCTTAAGCCACCACACCTGGCCTAATTTAGCATTTTTACCATCAGGAGTTGGGAACTAAAATGTTTACCTACCACGATTTCCTTCAAAAAACCTGCATTTCAATATAACAAATACGTTAAATTTTGATTGTGAGGTGCTTACCCTAGCTTCTAAAAAGAGTAATATTTTAAAATATATTATTTAGAAGATTTTTCCCCGTTTTAGTACTACAGGGATATTCTTTATAAAAAGAGGTTTTTATAAGGAGGAAAAAATATAAAACTTCATACATCTAAGCCCTATTGTGGAATTTAAGGAATTCAGGACTTTCTTTAGTCTGCATAAGAAACTAGCTGGCTAAATAAATAACGGAAACAAAATACTTCAGAAGTATGTTTTATAAATGATAAGATTCTCAGATCAGGTGCGACAAAATTTCTACTCAGCAACATTCTCTCCAAGTCATTGTTCATGATGCAGAAATTTAGCGGTCTGCAGATAATAAATATTTTAGTCTCTGATTGATTGACTTGCTGTGTGACTTGGAGCCAGTCATTTGCTATTCTTGTCATCTGAGGTTCCTCACCTCTAAGATGGGGACAATGTTTTCCATCTAACCCTCAGTAATGGGCAGAAAAAGCTGCACACAGTCAAGCAGTTTGATAATATAAAACATTATATAGCATGAGGTTATACCTTTGATTACTACCACTGCTTTCAAAATGGCTCCTAAGTTTTAGCAGCAATTTTTCAGATTAAATTAGTGCAGAGTGGTGAGAAGAAATATTAAAAATATTTCTTGCTTTTAGGCAGGTAGAGTGAACCCTCAGATTGCTGACAGGAGTACAATTCTTCCTCCATTCTGTCCCTTAACTTCCCCTTCTTATGGTCAAAAGCATTTCTGGGCCGGGCGCGGTGGCTCAAGCCTGTAATCCCAGCACTTTGGGAGGCCGAGGCGGGTGGATCACGAGGTCAAGAGATCGAGACCATCCTGGTCAACATGGTGAAACCCCCGTCTCTACTAAAAATACAAAAAATTAGCTGGGCATGGTGGTGCGTGCCTGTAATCCCAGCTACTCAGGAGGCTGAGGCAGGAGAATTGCCTGAACCCAGGAGGCAGAGGTTGCGGTGAGCCGAGATGGCGCCATTGCACTCCAGCCTGGGTAACAAGAGCGAAACTCCGTCTCAAAAAAAAAATAAATAAAAGCATTTCTGATAGTCTGCTTCTGCCTCCTCTTCCAATTGCTTTTCCAGTTCATTTCCTAGCCTTTCTCACCCAGATTGTAGAATACTTCCTATTACCGGCAAAAATCAAAGAATTCCAGTGGAGTAAGTTTGCATTAGAAATAGTAAAATCACACAGAAGGACTTAGAATATTTAACTTCATACACAATTTTTAAATAAAACATTCAAAACACTAATAATTAAGAGTTAAACATTGTTGGGATTGGTAAAGTAAAAGAGCACTGGGGGCAGGGGGAGGCATTAAAAAAAAAAAAAGAGCACTCAATATTAACCTGTGGTCTTGTGACTGCTTAACTGTTATTCCTAAGCATGGAATTTGCCTAAAACTGAAAAGCAGTTTAATAAAAGTTTGTGATTTCTTATGACATTACAACTAGAACTAAAAGACAGGAGAAGACAGCTTTACCAAGATTGTTGCTATTTTTTAAATGAACAATGTGTATTTGTGTATGGGATCAGAGGAATGGAGACAGGACAGAGAAGGAGAAGCAATAGATTTTTAATTTAAAGAAAATAGAAGAAAAATAACACTGAGAAAAGAATGAAAGTGCGTTTAGTAACATTGCAGCTTCAGTAAAATGAGAAAAAAGAAAAATATCAAGTAGAGTTTCTAGTCAAGGGTTATAAGGTTCATAGCTTGCGAAATGGAGAAGAAACCAAATTACTTTCCAATATTGTTTCTCCTAAAATGAAAATCTGACAGCTGCAGTTTCTTTCTTATGAACAAGACAAGGGTCATGCCTTATATAACAGCTGCCTAGGACAAAATTTCTATATTTAGGAAAGCTAGCTTTATACTGTTAACCAAAGGTTTCCAAAGTTGCATTCAAATATAAATGGGTTAAATCAGCTAATATGTTTTACATCTAATAATGACATTCCTACCTAGTTTTGCTTCAACATAGAGGACATATATGGTTGAACAAACTAGAAGAAAACTTATGACCAAGGCAAGATCATAAGTAGTGCAGTAAAGGTAGGAAATAAGTACAGCTGATAAGGAAATGATTGGCTGGGTGCAGTGGCTCACGCCTGTAATCCTAGCACTTTGGGAAGCTGAGGCAAGAGGATCATCAGTCAGAAGACCAGCTTGATCTACATAGTGAAACCCCATTTATACTAAAATACAAAAATTAGCTGTGCATGGTGGTGAGCACCTGTAATCCCAGCTACTCAGGAGGCTGAGGCAGGATAATTGCTTCAACCCAGGAGACAGAGATTGCAGTAAGCCGAGATCGCACCACTGCACTCCAGCCTGGGCTGGGGGACAGAGCAAGACAACCACTCAAAAAAAAAAAAAAAAAACAAAAAAAACTAATGTTAGAATTTTAGAGCTAGAAATATTAAATATCGCATACTATAAAGAGAAACTGGAACATATGTCAGGCTCTTAAAAAGAAGTGAAAACGAGGAGTAGCAAAATTAAGAATACCTTTGGATTACTTGAGAGTAAAATATATGCCTTTTGAAACAATGGTGTGTGATTGGAAGCCCAGAAGAAACAAGGAATTAAAAAGTCTTCCAGACACTGAAAGATAGAGAATTAAAATTTGTAGCAAAATAATAATAAAATAAATAAAATAAAATTTATAGCTATCAATGCAGACCAAAATAGTGATGATATCCTGCATAAAAGCCAGCTCTACCATCGCAGGAAGTAATAGAGGAAATCAGTTCATATTTTATATGTATAGGAAAAGCAAGAACATTGCCAGTAAATCTCAACATATTCTAAGAAAACACACAAATTTAGCTTCTGATGAAAGACATACTGATTCTGACTTTCTGAACTGCATTCCAGAGCAATGCATGACATCATTTTTGAAAGCTGTTAAAAGTTGGCTCAACATGGAGTGCAGTTTGATTTGGATAAATCCAGACTCCTTCAGCAATCATGTGTTGATTATAATCACTTGGTTAAGTGTGCCATACAACTGGTGTTGAAAGTAGTAAGTTCAATATACATATGGGCAAGTTTAGTATATGTGCTGCCGAAGCGAGGACTGCATATGGGCAGGTTTAAAAGCTATATGCAATAAAATAGTACTCCAATACATGTAGACAGCGACATCAAAATAAACTATGCTGGGACTTAACTGTGAGGCTAACTAGGCAAGGGACATGAATGAACCAATCATGGCTAGGTAGTACATACAGTGGAAATATACTTTCCTTAACTGTTTCAGTCATTCACGCCTTTATAACTTCTTGTATACGCTTAACACTAGCTCCAGGGAAATTGAAAGCCTATACTGTATAAGCATTTGATACTTGCTTATTTATCAGTGATAAAATATCTTTTGGGTATGAAAATCAAGTTTCCCTACAGTTCTCAACACAAAGTGGCCTTCATCTGTTTAAATTCTAATTACAATTTAACATTAAGATTTGCTCTCTGGACCCCAGTGATTGAACTATGACTTCTCAGGTGTCTTCCACTGCTATGAGAGGCCACGACTATTATTAACTTATTCTGAAATTCTCTTGTCACAAATTTCTATAAAAGATCAAAACTCAGTTGTATTAAATCTAGATAAAAAGATTTTCATGCATCAAGGTGTGAAATTGAAGGTAATAACTATATATATATTTATTGAAGGTTGCATACAGCTACTGATTTAGTTGGCACATGCAAAAAATGCTGTGCCCACTGTCAGTGGAAGTTTCATGCAATAAAGTCTTACCTATTTCCCAGATAAAGTCAATATAATTTGTTTTAAAAATTAGTTCAGGGTTGTTTTCACACATGCTATTGTGAAATGATCAGTAGGAGTCCACTGTAATGCTAGAAAGTAGGTTAGTCAAATGAATTAAATCAGTAGCTTATTTACACAAGGGTATGCATTCAATTAAATATGTATTGAGGTTATGTCTTAAGTAAATTACTTATGGATATCATCTAGTTGAAGTTCTAAATTTAATAAATGAAATTACATTATCAACATGCAGATTGAATAACAAAGATGTTGGACAATTATTTAAGATGTAAACATGTTGCAATAATTTGCCTACAGCTATCTATGCCTTTCAAATAGCCTCACTTTCCGATAAGAATGTATTTCAATTATGTTTATGACCTGGTCTATTTGGTACTTTGTAGATGAATTGGAAGCAAGAGGTAGGTGAGACTGACAAGTACAAGAGAAAAAAAAAAAAGAAATTTCAACAATGGCTCAAGCGCCATTAGAAATGGAATTTTAGGCTGAGTAGAGTGGCTCATGCTTATAATTTTTGTACTTTAGGAGGCTGAAGCAGGAGGATCACTTGAGGCCAGAAGTTTGAGACCAGCCTGGGCAACATAGCAAAAGACTCTGTCACTCCAAAAAAAAAAAAAAGAAAAGAAATAAAAAGGAAATGGAATATCAAGGGGCAGCATGATATTTTGTAGGATTCTGCAATACAGAGGAATTATTCCCTCATTAAAGTTGGTACGTTTGTAGCATATTATGCACTGATTGGGCTAACTAGGAGGTCATGTATCAGTGAATTCAATGATCATACTATGAACAAATGCAGGTATAAAACCCAATTAGAGTGTTAAAGGTGATCATTACAGCAAAATATAATAGAGGGGTAGAAATAATGTTAGATGACCAGTTTTATGAGAAAATGTCATTTCAAACAAATTTATTTCCTTGCTTCATGAGAAAGAGCATTCTAAAAGCAGTGTAGCCAGCATACAATCACAATGCTGCAGAACATTGAATAAGCTTTTTAAAAAATCACAGGGCAGAGAATGGGATGGTAAATTGTTAAAATCGGGAAAGAGAGTCCAACAAAATAGGAATCCAATTTGGTTCCCACAGTGGGGTGATCAGTTTAGGAAGTCCATTCATGATGTTAATTACAACAATGGAATGGAAACATTTCAGGTAATACTAGATATTTTCATATACTTGTTTTGGTAAACTGCAGCAAGTGTCACAAATCCCAATAGCCCCCAAAATTAACATTGATGTTTCAAGTTTAGATTGTTAAGAAACCTGTTGAGAGACAGATCAATTTGAATTACTGCATACATTACCATGGATTATTTTAAAGATAATTTGCTATTTATTTTAAAAATATTTCTGAGGGTAGTTTTTGTTCTTCAGGTTTACTATGTCATAGGTGGGTGATTCCAAGAAAAATAAAAGTGACACTTAGATTTTGCAGGCATTCAATAAGTGTAGACTCGAAGAATGAATAGATGAGTGGATGCATAAAGAGCCATAAAACTTTATCCATTAAATCTGGTGAAGAAATAATTTCTAGTGGGAGCTAAGGCCTAAAATCTAAAACATAATCTTGCAAGGGTGTATTCCTGATAGTATAATACTAGTAAATATCTCATTGAAGCAGCTGAAGCAATAAACAATCACTTATTTATATACTTATATGTATAAGAAACCTTAGGCTCACAAAAATATACATGTTTTAAAACAGAAATCTAAGGCACACAAAATACTAAAACAAGTCAATGAATTACCCTAGTTTACATTTCAACAAGCAGAAATCTACTTGTACACGATGGTCTATCAATGGACATTTTTGTTATTTACAATCCCTTCATATTCCTTTACTTGGATTAGTCAAAAGCTCAAATCAGACACTTTGCACCATATATTATTTTAATAAGTTACAATGTGTTTTTCTTTAGAAAGCCTGCTGGAACTGTTTGCTTTTGCACCAGAATTGTAAGTGTTAGCGGTTGTGGGCTTCCTATGGCATTTCCAAGGGAGAAGCACCATTAGGTTTTCCATACTCCCCGGGAATCTGACACTTTGAATGTTATAGCACCTCTGCATTTTAACAGAATCAAGTATTTCATTAAAAGTTCTCCTTGTTCTAAACATGTTGTTTGGGTAATCCTTTTTTTTTTTTTTTTTTGCAATAAAATGAGTCAACAAAGTAATAGGAAAGAAAATGGGAAGACTAAAATAAACGTAATGCCTGTTTTCCTGTTACCTAGGTCATAGGCCATTATCAGAAAAGATGAGTTATCATTTTCCCAAATCTAATATGCTAAGATAAACAAATGAATTAGCTCTTAATGGACAAAGCCATGTTTATAGTACCATTCCTCTTGTTTGACTTGGGGTTGGGAAGGCATGTGATGATAGTAGGGAATTGGTTTTCAAAATATTTCAACAAGATTTTTTTTCTAATTCTATATTAGACTTCAGTACAAATATGTGTCTACTTAATTTTTGTATTTTATCACCTTGAGACATTAGAAGCATTTGACTCTTTTGAAACCTATCCTGTCCCGTCTCCTTTTGGAAATACCTCTCATGGATTATAATGTGAAAGGTAGGATGAAACTAAACTGAAGTTGTTCAACAAGTCAGAAGAGACCACTCTTCTCTAGTTCCAAAGAAAATGCTAATCAATATTGGTGATATGCTTCCTAATTCCATAACTAACAACTTCTCATTATCTAACTATTTTATATACTGCGAGTTGCTAACATTTGAATGTGAAAGGACACAGTAAAAGAAGACAAACCATATACATGATTAGAATACATACTGCAATTAACAAGATGGAACTCTACACAGCAAGGATAAATGATTTCTCTTGTATGCAAATATGCACAAACAATAGACAATAGGATTCTTATACTATATTATTTCAAGTTACTTTTAAAAATAGAAAGTGCTTTTAAAATATCTATTTACAATTTACGAACAGCCTCCAACCATTACTAACAACAATGATTTATTTTACACAGGAGAAATATTTTAAGAGAGAAAACATTTCATACATTTATTTCAAAAGAATATGCCAATTTTCTAGCAATGATTGGAAGATGTTGGAACAATGGCACCATGAAATAATAATTCAGCTTATTTTTAACTGTGTGGATGTGGTTAAGCACCAGAAGCTGTGTAGAGTTAACACTGTGTGTCTTGATTTTACATTATAGAACATGAACCTGTTAAAATCCTCTAAAAATGACTCTTGTTTCATAGTAAACTGACTTAATTGAAAGCACCAAACTGAGTGATTCTACCAAGGTTAATGCCTAACCGAAACATTTCTTTATGTATTTAAAACTATAAAACTTTTATTTTTGCTTAAAATGTGCACCTTCTACCAATTGTCAAAATATAGTCACAGTTAAGAATACCCACCCCATTTGTTATTATTATTATTATTTTTTTACCTCAGACTTGAAATGGGTGAGATGAAGATATAGTAAACGACAACATGACTTTCTTAAAACAGCACCTTGAAAAAATACACTGCACTAGCAAAGGCATTAAGAGGGGGAGAAAAGCCTTCAGACCCAATGGTTATAGGGCCCCGCAACGTGTGTGAGAGCATAAGGGGACACGGTGACAACATTGTCATGAGTTAATGTTAATGCTTTATGAGAAGGAATTTGGTTTAACTCATTTGTTTCAGAGGACAGTTCCGGACCTTCATTAGCTGCCTGGTCTTTTTGCTCTGAGGCCTTCATTTTCTTATTCTTAGCTTCTTTAGCCTCAAACTTAATCTTGTTTAGTTCAAAACCATGTTGGGGCTTATTTAGGTTTTTGTGCTGGTAAAAGACAAGGGAGAGGCGGGTTGGATGATTACGGTTGGGGTGCTCAACAGGAGTGGTAGCGTGCAGCTCTCGCCGGGCACACTCAATCAAAACCGAGCCGTGGGCAGGTGCGATGGCCACCCCACCAATATTTGCATCCAAAAAGATGTGCTCACTGTCTGACCAGTACTCATCAATGTGGGGCAATTTCTCCTCAGCAGGTGACAAGGGGTCATCAGATAAGGGCTCGTCTGATAGAGGCTCATCTGCTTCGGAATGCTGCTCATCTTCTTCCATTGGAGAAGAGGCAAGGTCTTGGGGAGAGGTGAGGAAGGAGGGCTGCTCATTTGGCTGATGAGACGTTAGCGGCTCAGTCACACCAGTGGGAGGCTCAGAATTAATAAGGGGCTCTGTCACAGGAGCAGACAGGGTGGGGAGAGGAGCAACTTCGCCAAGCTGTGAAATGCCAGGGCCTTCTGCAGCAGCTGCATTGGAACCGCTGAGTCTTCCCAAAGGCATCGTGCAGTGGGGAGTGCTGCTTCTTTCTGAAAACACGCACGAGGCTGTTGCGTCATTCTTCAATGGAGTTGGTGCAACTGACGCAGTCTTCGGGAACCAGGAAAAGCCTGGAGATGCCTCTTTCACTGGGTGAGAAGCAGATGGCATCAGCAAATAGGTTTTAGTGTTGTCTGAACTTTTAAAGATAAAATGGGGATCGGTTTCACTTTTTACTTCAGGTTGCATGGTCTCAGTTTTACTCCCTAAACAGAGGACACCAAAAGTGAAAAAAAATACAAATTACTTTTGGTAGGTGTTGTCTTTTAAAAAGTATTTTCAAAGATAAGTACAAAGAATTATGTAAGAAAACACTGATGTTGTGTTGGTCGGGTTTGTTCTGTTCATTTCAAATCATGCACACATGAATTAAAAATTTATGTACTTTCGTATACTTTTTTATCTAATAATTTTCCTTAAAGAAATCTTCCTTTAGGAAAGAAGCATAAATAAGTGCAAAAATCTAGCCAAAATGATGGATACTTACTGTTTGAAATAGTAAAATATTAGAATTGACCTAATTAGGTATGAAGTAAATAATACAACTATATGTTGTAATATTGTGCAGGCATTATAAAACAATGACATACGGCAATATCCAACTATTCAAAAAGATATTTAGATACATTTAAGACACTGTATGACCCTATATTTTAAAAAGTAAAAATAAGTAATAGTTTATCAATATTTCTAGGTAACAAAAGCATCAGAACTTGCAAAGGCCAAGATTAGGCAGAGGGAAGTCAGGCAAAACGTAGTTGAACATAAAACTTTGTGACTCTCAAAAACTTAGTTTCCTTCTCACTAAGGAGGTAGATCATTACTCTCAAGATGTCATGTATTTGTTATTTGCTCTGACATATCCACACAAATCTCACATCAAACAGAAACATTTTCCTTGAAGACATTCTCCCTATTATGAAGTTCTTCTTATTTTATTTATTTATTTATTTTGAGACGAAGTCTTGCTCTTTTTGCCCAGGCTGGAGTGCAATGACTCAATCACGGCTCACCAAAACCTCCACCTCCTGAGTTCAAGTGATTCTCCTGCCTCAGCCTCCTTTGTAGCCAGGATTACAGGCGCTTGCCACCACACCCAGCTAATTTTTTGTATTTTTAGTAGACATGGGGTTTCACCATGTTGGTCAGGCTGGTCTCGAACTCCTGACCTCAGGCAATCCACTCGTCTCAGCCTCCCAAAGTGCTGAGACTACAGGCATGAGCCACGACACCTGGCCTCTGCTTATTTTTTTGCGATGGAATCTCACTATGTTACCAGCCTGGAGTGCAGAAGCACGATCTCGGCTGACTGCAATCTCTGCCTCCCAGGTTCAAGAGATTCACCTGACTCTACAGGTGCACACCACCATGCCCAGCTAGTTTTTTTTTTTTTTTTTTTGAGACGGAGTTTCGCTCTTGTTACCCAGGTTGGAGTGCAATGGTGCGATCTCGGCTCACCGCAACCTCCGCCTCCTGGGCTCAGGCAATTCTCCTGCCTCAGCCTCCTAAGTAGCTGGGATTACAGGCACGCGCCACCACGCCCAGCTAGTTTTTTGTATTTTTAGTAGAGACGGGGTTTCACCATGTTGACCAGGATGGTCTCGATCTCTTGACCTTGTGATCCACCCGCCTCGGCCTCCCAAAGTGCTGGGATTACAGGTTTGAGCCACTGCGCCCCGCCTAATTTTTTATATTTTAGTAGAGACGGGGCTTCACCATGTTAACCAGGATGGTCAACTCCTGACCTCGAGATCTGCCTGCCTCAGCCTCCCAAAGTGCTGGGATTATGTGAACCTCTGCACCTGGCCCTTGTTACAAAAAAATCTTTGGAAGTGCAAAACCAGCAAATCTTAGGACTAAGAAAAGGTAAAGCAGCCATGTTTTAAAGTAATTAAAAATATAATAAATATTGATTAATTTCATTATTTTAAGAGACGGGGTTTTGCTATGTTGTCCGGGGTGGAGTGCAGTGGCTATTCACAGGTGAGATCCCACATTGATCAGCACAGGAGTTTTGACCTCCTGTTTCTGACCTGGGATGGTTCACCCCTTTTTAGGCAACCTGGTGGTCTCCTGCTCTCAGAAGGTCACCATACTGATGCCAAACTTAGTGCAGACACCGGATTGGCATAGTGCACTACAGCCCAGAACTCCTGGGCTCAAGTGATCCTCCCACCTCAGCCTCTGTAATAGCTGAGACTACAGGTACGTGCCACTGTACCCGGAACACTGATTACTTTCAGAAGCTCTGCAGTTCTCCTCTCAGATTCTACAACCTGGAGCCATGAGAGCTCTCATTTCTAAAGATAAAGCACATATAAGACCCAGCAATGATACATCAGGAAACCTCTGCTGTTTTAAGTGGCAATATTATTATATAGAAGTTAGGTTATCCACAGAAGGTAAATGATGGGAAGAAAAGACTAAATGACTGGGGGGTAGAATTACAAAAGAAAAAGATATTAAGAGCCAAGTATTGTACATATGCTTACGAATATCTGGGAATATACTATAAGAAAATAGCTGGACTGTGAGCCCTAGACAACATAGGAAAATCTTGTCTCTATTTAAAAAAGAAAATAGCTAAAAGATGACCTCCAAAAATGACTTGCATTTTAACCAGCATTTAGTCAGTATGCAAGGATACCGCTGGGAAATGACAGAAGGACAAAAATGATCAATTGGCCTTTAGAACAGCATGGAACCAGATAGGTGAATCATAAAATTGTCTAAATTATCTGAAAATGGAGCTATAAGCAAGAAGGAAATCATTCTCCCTCACATTTCTCCTCAATATTTCTCTGCATTACTTTTTTTTTTTTTGAGATGGAGTTTCCCTCTTGTTGCCCAGGCTGGGGTGGAATGGCACTATCTCGGCTCCCTGCAACCTCTGCCTCCTGGTAGCTGGTATTACAGGTGCCCACCACCAAGCCCAGCTAATTCTTGTATTTTTAGTAGAGATGGGGTTTCACTGTGTTGCCCAGGCTGGTCTTACCCACCTCAGCCTCCCAAAGTGCTGGGATTATAGGCCTGAGTCACCTTGTTGGGCTGTATTACATTTTTTTCAGCATTATATAAATGCCTGCACTGTAATTCCACTCATGTTATAAAAACAACCTCTCATAAATATAAAAAATTAAAGAAGCTAAAGATTATAGTATAAAGTTAATTTTAAATGTCAGTATAAATTCATGATTTTTTTTTCCTTCAAAGAAATGGTTGATTTTAAATATGGGGCAGAACTATATAAGATGAGCCTACAACAACTTTTTATAGAAGTTAGGAAAGCTATCAAAGACAACTGGAGTTGTGACAAAAGAAATGAGAAGCCAGCTGGGCGTGGTGGCTCACACCTGTAATCCCAGCACTTTGGGAGGCTGAAGCCGGTGGATCACATGAGGTCAGGAGTTCAAAACCTGACTGGCCAACATGGTGAAACACTGTCTCAACTGAAAATACAAAAATTAGCCAGATGTGGTAGTGAGCACCTGTAATCCCAGCTACTTGGGAGGCTGAGGCCTCCTGGCTTGAACCCAAGAGGCGGATGTTGCAGTGAGCTGAGATGGTGCCACTGCACTCCTGCCTGGGTGATAGAGTGAGACTCTGTCTTAAAAAAAAAAAAAAAGAAAGAAAGAAAGAAAAAGAAAAAAAGAAAAAAAAATTACGTGAAAACCTGGGCGTGGTGACTCACACCTGTAATCCCAGCATTTTGGGAGGCCAAGGTGGGTGGATCACAGGGTCAGGAGTTTGAGAAAAGCCTGACCAACATGGTGAAACTCCATCTCTACTAAAAATACAAAAATTAGCCAGGTGTGGCAGCATATGCCTGTAGTCCCAGCTACTCGGGAGGCTGAAGCAGGAGAATTGCTTGAACCCAGGAGGAGTAGGTTGCAGTGAGCCAAGATCATACCACTGCACTCCAGCCTGGGCAACAGAGCAAGACTCTGTCACACACACACACACACACACACACACACACAAATTAGGTGAAAAACTGATAAGAGCCAGGTGTAGTGGTGCACACCTATAGTCCTAGGTAGCAGAGAGGCGCCCACGGGAACATAATTTGATCTCTGGAGTTTGAGGCAGCAATGTGCTATGATTGTACTTGTGAATAGCCATTGTACTCCAGCCTTCGCAACATAGCAAGACTCTGTCACTTAAAAAAACCCAAAAAACTAACGAGCCTTCATAACAAATGAAGCTAGGTGTGATGGCTCATGTCTGTAATTCCACCACTTTGGGAAGATCATTTGAGTCCAGGAGTTCAGATCAGTCTGGGAAACATGGTGAAACCCTATCTCTACAAAAAAATACAGTAATTAGCTAGGCATGGTGGCACAGGCACTACAGTCCTAGCTTCTTGGGAGGCTGAGGTGGGAGGATTGTTTGAGCCTGGAAGGTTGAGGCTACAGTGAGCCGTGACCATGCCACTGCACTGCAGCCTGGGCAACAGAGCAAGACTTTGTCTAAAAAAACAAACAAACAAAAACCCCACAATCTGCAATACCACTGTTAAAGTGGTGTTTGGTTCTATTAGTTTACTGATTACTTAAATTGATGGTAAAGGTGATCAAGGAAGGCATCCATGAAGTCATGTCCATTATCTATGCCAAGAACAATGTGTAGGGCTTCAAATTAGATGGGGCAATTCATAGGAACAATAATAAGAACATGTTTAAAAAAAAAAAAAAGGCCAGGCGTGGTGGGTCATGCTTGTAATCCAAGCACTTTAGAGGCCAAGGCGGGTGGATCACCTGAGGTTGGGAGTTCAGGACCAGCCTGACCAACATGGTGAAACCCTGTCTATAAAAAAATAAATAAATAAAAATAAAAAATAAAATAAGCGCCGGGCGCGGTGGCTCAAGCCTGTAATCCCAGCACTTTGGGAGGCCGAGGCGGGTGGATCACGAGGTCGAGAGATCGAGACCATCCTGGTCAACATGGTGAAACCCCGTCTCTACTAAAAGTGCAAAAAATTAGCTGGGCATGGTGGAACGTGCCTGTAATCCCAGCTACTCAGGAGGCTGAGGCAGGAGAATTGCCTGACCCCAGGAGGCGGAGGTTGCGGTGAGCCGAGATTGCACCATTGCACTCCAGCCTGGGTAACAAGGGGCGAAACTCCATCTCAAAAAAAAAAAAAATAAAATAAATAAAATAAAGTAAGCTGGGCACAGTGGTGTGTACCTGTAGTTCTAGCTACTCCAGAGGAGACTGAGATGGGATGATTGCTTAAGCCCAGATGTGCCAAGCCAGCCTGGGCAACAAAGTGAGACCCTTCCTCATGCCAAAAAAACAATATATTAAAATATTAAAAAGGATAAGTAGAAAAAATTACAAAGAAACACTGATGGGGCACTTTTTTGTTGACTTTTGGTTCTGGCATATGTAAAAATATATTCAGTGTCTTAGTTTTAACTCTAAACTATAATAATACATCTGCTTTAAATATTTTCTTTTCATAATGCCTCATGCCTAAGATAGCTGCAAAAATAAATAATGTGCGAGAGAAACAAAGTCCAAACATTGTATCAATCACAGTTGTGCAGAGATTAGCAGGTTCCACAGGGCTCACCTAAGGTTGGCAGTGACGAAGCCTTACTGTTGTTCGTTGTTGTCGAGTTATTCTTCCGCTTGATTCGGGGAATAGGTTTCTTCTCCACTGCCCTTATCTTATGTGCAAGAACCTCCGTCATCATCGCAGCCCTCTTCTTCCCGGAACGGGGAACAGGCTGAGTGAAACAAGTTCTTTTTTTGCGGCGGGGTGCCAGGACCTCAATGGCCCCAGATTTGATCTTGGCTTCCATTCCTTCCTTGGAGCCAAACTCATCTGTGTCTGAAAGTTTATAAAGAGGTAGGACATGGAGCTGCTCATCTTGAGGAACAACACCCAAAGAGCGGTTATCTTCTCTAGTTAAAGTACAAACCTGATAGGGAGAAAAACATGAAACAGGAAAGATATATGGGTCGCGCACATTCATTGTGGCTAATTCCTGTCTTCATTTTGTTGTATTTGGGAAAGAGACTTATATTCCTATTTTATTTTCAATTGGTTGATGATGGTATATTATTATTTTATATCAAGCCACCCAACTCTGTCCAATCATAGTAACTTCCCAGTTGTTTGTAAGCAGACCAGAGTAATATTTAGTTGATTTTCTAAGTAAATTATTATAAATTTTCTTTTTTTTTTTTTTTTTTTTTTTTGAGACGGAGTTTCGCTCTTGTTACCCGGGCTGGAGTGCAATGGTGCGATTTCGGCTCACCGCAACCTCTGCCTCCTGGGTTCAGGCAATTCTCCTGCCTCAGCCTCCTGAGTAGCTGGGATTAGAGGCATGTGACGCCACACTCAGCTAATTTTTGTATTTTTAGCAGAGACAGGGTCTCACCCTGTTGGCCAGGCTGGTCTTGAACCCCTGATCTCAAGTGATCCGCCTGCCTAAGCCTCCCAAAGTGGTGGGATTACAGGTGTGAGCCACTGGACCCCGCCAAATTAATTTTCAAATATTAAAAACCCACCAGAAACCTATCAAACGTTTTCTTTATTTTATATTAAAAACATATATAATAGAGATAGAAACTCTTTCAATGATAGCAAAAACTGGAGATAAATGAAATAAACACATTTTTTCTTTTCTTTTTTTTTTTTTTTTGAGACAGAGTCTTGTTCTGTCACCAGGCGCCAGGCTGGAGTGCAGTGGCACAATCTCAGCTCACTGCAATCTCCAACTCCTGAGTTCAAGCAACTCTTTTGCCTCAGCCTCCCGAGTAGCTGGGACTACTGGTACGTGCCACGACGCCCAGCTAATTTTGTACTTTTTAGTAGAGACGGGGTTTCACCATGTTGGCCAGGATAGTCTCACTCTCTTGACCTCATGATCCACCTGCCGTGGTCTCCCAAAGTGCTGAGATTACAGGCGTGAGCCACTGCGCCCGGCACAGATTTGATGTTCATAGCATTTTTGGATTCATGATAGAACTTGATAGATACCAATGGTAATGCAAAGTTAAAGAGCTAAAGGTTAAAAAAAGTTCAGTTTTTTTCCCCCCAATATCTGAAGTCACATTTTTCAAAAAAGCCTAAAATATAAATATATGTTTCAGCCTCAAACTCCTGGGTTTGAGTGATTCTCTTGCCTCAGTCTTCTGAGTAGCTGGGAATACAGGTGAGTACCACACGCCTAGCTAATTTTTAAATTTTTTTTTTTTTTTTTTTTTGGTAGAGGCAGGTTCTCACAAAGTTGCCTAGGCTACATTAAAGATCCTGGGTTCAAGCAATCCTTCCACTTTACTGTCCCAAAGTGCTGGAATTACAGGCATGAGCCATGGTGCCTGGCCAAAACCTGAAATAATAAATTGTCAGGGTGGTAATGTGTTCATAATTTAAAATAGTCGTGTGGCTCATGCCTATGACTATTTTAAATAGTCACAGCTCACACCTGTGATCCTACCACTTTGGGAGGCTAAGGATGGCAGATCATCAGGAGTTCAAGACCAGCGTGACCAACAGGGAGAAACCCCGTCTCTACTAAAAATACAAAATTAGCCAGGTGCAGTGGTGTATACCTGTAATACCAACTACCTGGGGAGGCGGAGGCAGGAGAATCTCGTGAACCTGGGAGGCGGAGATTGCAGTGAGCTGAGACTGCACCATTGCATTCCAGCCTGGGCAAAAAAAGTGAAACTCTGGCTACAAAAAAAAGTCATGTTGAAAATCAGAATCTCACATCAATAAATGTTGACTGGAACAAATTTAACTGGCCACAGAGAGACTAAGAAGGAAATAAGGAGTTGATGTGAGGAGTATAATTAGAAAGGACAGTTACTATAGGAGCAAAAAGTAAACCAATAAAGAAAAGGAAAAAGAAAGTATGGTAAATCCGGGTCAAAGGAGAGGTGGTGGTAGAATTTCAAGAATTCTCATCATTTTTGAAGATGGGGAAATTTGGAGTGATGTCAAGTTCCCGATAAGACCCTCATTTCATGAGTAATCAGAGCACTGGAAGTCAAAGAGCACAGAGAAGAGAAACTGAAACGTAGTCTGACTCTGAACGGACTCCAGCCTAATCACAGATATTCTGTAATGCAGGTAATGTCCTGGCCAAGTGATGGTGATGAACCACTGCCTGGCTAGTATTCACCAGGCTGGATTTATATAACTTCAACACTTGGAAATAACATTGGCTTCAAAGACTGTACAAAACATTTTTGTATACAGGAATGACATGCAAAAAAAGGTTATTTTGGCTTAATCTATCACCCATATACTTCTAATGACCAAGCAAGGAAGAAAGACTGCTTGTTAAAAGATCTGATCGTATACTTTTGATCACACTGTAAGAGGCTGTAGCTAAATCCTGAAAAAAAAAAAAATTTTTTTTTAATTGTATATTTTAAAGAGATGGGGTCTTGTCACCCAGGCTGGTCTAGAACTCCCAGGCTCAAGCAATTCTCCTGTCTTGGCCTCCTAAGTAGGTGGGATAACAGGCCTGAGTCAACATACTCATCCTGCAGTCAAGACGATGAAGATTTCAAAATGATCTGGCAAACCTAAAAAACTGGTGCAACAGAAAAACAAAAGCAATTGCTCTCTATTTATTTCCGCTTTACTAGATGACAGGAAAACAATTAGATGAAGCAAGCTGACAAAAAGACTATTGCACGATTTTCCACTGGGTATTCTGCCTAATTTACATATCTCTTGATTGACTTCAGGTGATGGGCATGTGATGATTTACGTAACTATGGACTTACTAGGCACACCTGAATGGAAATACTGCTGATAATTGGCACAGTTGCCTCACAAAACCCTGAAGTGCAAATGGCAAAAACAAATATTAAGTAACTTGCTCAAATTTATACCTATCGCCGGGCGCGGTGGCTCACGTCTGTAATCCCAGCACTTTGGGAGGCCGAGGCAGGTGGATCACGAGGTCAAGAGATCGAGACCATCCTGGTCAACATGGTGAAACCCCGTCTCTACTAAAAATACAAAAAATTAGCTGGGCATGGTGGCGTGTGCCTGTAATCCCAGCTACTCAGGAAGCTGAGGCAGGAGAATTGCCTGAACCCAGGAGGCGGAGGTTGCGGTGAGCCGAGATCGCGCCATTGCACTCTAGCCTGGGTAACAAGAGTGAAACTCCGTCTCAAAAAAAAAAAAAAAAAAAATTTATACCTATCAGCAGTTTGATAGCACAGAATTGTTATTTTAAATAATGATGTACTCCTGCCTCCCAGCAAACACACCACAGTTCAATATGTAACATAAGCCTTTCAACAAAATGTTTGTTTAAAACTGGCTCTGTTACTTTTTAGAAGTACGCAGATAATGCATTTAATGAAGACTTCCTCTATACACTTCTTTCTTTTTTTTTTTTTTGAGACGGAGTTTCACTCTTGTTACCCAGGCTGGAGTGCAATGGCGCGATCTCCGCTCACCGCAACCTCCGCCTCCTGGGTTCAGGCAATTCTCCTGCCTCAGCCTCCTGAGTAGCTGGGATTACAGGCACGCACCACCATGCCCAGCTAATTTTTTGCATTTTTGGTAGAGACGGGGTTTCACCATGTTGACCAGGATGGTCTCGATCTCTTGACCTTGTGATCCACCCGCCTCGGCCTCCCAAAGTGCTGGGATTACAGGCTTGAGCCACCGCGCCCGGCCTATACACTTATTTCTAATAGCACATGAATTAAGGTTTGTCACAATAATAATCATCATGTTATACTTAAGGACTGCAGCCTAAGCATAGAGTAATGGAGCTTTTAGAATACAAATTCACACAGGTACATACAACTGTGCTTCCATTATTCATGTTGTGAATGTCCCTGTGGGGATGGGCACAGAAGTCCAGGCAAGCAGTGACGCCAGAGAAGGGACGACCTTCCTTGCTGCCAAGCCGACATTCTCGGGCAATATTTTCATATTCAACCTAGAAAAGAAAGCATAGAGCACAATCTTAAGAGAGAGAAGGCGATCACCTGTCTTCAGTAAAGAGTAAAAATAAAATAATTTCCTGACAAAGTTTCTATATTAATTACACTTTGTAATTTCTTTTTTTTTTTTTTTTTTTTTTTTTTTTTGAGACGGAGTTTCGCTCTTGTTACCCAGGCTGGAGTGCAATGGCGCGATCTCGGCTCACCGCAACCTCCGCCTCCTGGGCTCAGGCAATTCTCCTGCCTCAGCCTCCCGAGTAGCTGGGATTACAGGCACGTGCCACCACGCCCAGCTAATTTTTTGTATTTTTAGGAGAGACGGGGTTTCACCATGTTGACCAGGATGGTCTCGATCTCTCGACCTCGTGATCCACCCGCCTCGGCCTCCCAAAGTGCTGGGATTACAGGCTTGAGCCACCGCGCCCGGCCTACACTTTGTAATTTCTGAAACTAAGTGTATTATTGTGGTGAAGGTGTAGTTTAGCAATATTCAGGATAAAGCATGTGACAATACATGGAGTAAAAGGAAAATCACTAACTTTACAAGGGAAGGTGGGGGAGGATACTAATTCTTGCTGGAGATGGGATAAGCAAGTAAAATAGATTCAATCACTCCATTAAAAAGAAAGACCAATAAAATGCATTAATCACAAACAGAGAATTTTCAATATCCATAAAAGAAGATATAGATACTTTTCATGAACGATTATAGAAAATTAATTTTTTAAAAAAGAGAGGAAAAAATGAAAATTAATTTGTAACTCCTTTTAAAATGAAAAGGTGGAGGCCAGGCATGGTGGGTAACACCTGTAATCCCAGCACTTTGGGAGGCTGAGGTCGGCAGATCACTTGAGGCAAGGAGTTTGACACCAGCCTGGGCAACATGATGAAACCCTATCTCTACTAAAAATACAAAAATTAGTAGCAGGGTGTGGTGGCATGTGTGCCTGTAGTCCCAGCTACTTGGTAGGCTGAGGCCAGGGAATCATTTGAACCCAGGAGACGGAGGTTGCATTGAGCTGAGATTATGCCACTGCACTCCAGCCTGGGTGACAGAATGAGACTGCATCTCAAAAAAAAAAAAAAGATAGATCAATAAAAAGTCCAATTACATATATGGATGTTAGATAGATACATATATGTTGTGTATGTATATATTGTTCAAATTTGAAAATTTTGCCATTAACAATGACTTTTTTTTTTTTTTTTTTTTTTTTTGAGATGCAGTCTCATTCTGTCACCCAGGCTGGAGTGTAGTGGCATAATCTCAGCTCAATGCAACCTCTGCCTCCCAGGTTCAAATTGATTCTCCTGCCTGGGTCTCCTGATTAGCTGGGAGTATAAGCACATGTCACCACACCTGGCTAATTTTTGTATTTTTAGTAGAGATGGAGTTTCACCATGTGGGCCAGGCAGTCTCAAACTCCTGACCTCAGGTGATCCGACCACCTTAGCCTCCCAAATTGCTGGGACTACAGGTGTGAGGTACTGTGCCCGGCCAACAGTGACTTTTTTTTTTTTTTTTTTTGAGACGGAGTTTCGCTCTTGTTACCCAGGCTGGAGTGCAATGGCGCGATCTCGGCTCACCGCAACCTCCGCCTCCTGGGTTCAGGCAATTCTCCTGCCTCAGCCTCCTGAGTAGCTGGGATTACAGGCACGTGCCACCACGCCCAGCTAATTTTTTGTATTTTTAGGAGAGACGGGGTTTCACCATGTTGGCCAGGATGGTCTCGATCTCTCGACCTCGTGATCCACCCGCCTCGGCCTCCCAAAGTGCTGGGATTACATGCTTGAGCCACCGCGCTCGGCCCGATTTTATATTTTAAAAAGTCACTGTGCCGGGCACAGTGGCTCAAGCCTGTAATCCCAGCACTTTGGGAGGCCGAGGCGGGTGGATCACGAGGTCGAGAGATCGAGACCATCCTGGCCAACATGGTGAAACCCCGTCTCTCCTAAAAATACAAAAAATTAGCTGGGCGTGGTGGCACGTGCCTGTAATCCCAGCTACTCAGGAGGCTGAGGCAGGAGAATTGCCTGAACCCAGGAGGCGGAGGTTGCGGTGAGCCGAGATCGCGCCATTGCACTCCAGCCTGGGTAACAAGAGCGAAACTCCGTCTCAAAAAAAAAAAAAAAAAAAAAAAAAAATCGTCTGGCTCATCTGTAATCCCAGCATATTTTAGGGTGAGGCAGGAGGATTGCTTGAGCTTAGGAATTTGCAGCAAGCTTTTATCATGCCACTGTACTGCTGTCTGGGCAACAAAGCAAGACCCCATCTCAAATTAACAAATAAACAAAAAGTCCATACCAGTACATACCTGATTTTGGTAAGCTACTGGAGCATACTGCTTATAAATTGGAGCTAATCGTGTAGCCAAACTCTGTAAGTTGTCTTCAAGGTTTTTTTCCTATAGGAAAACATAATCCATTAGTTATTTTATAATTGCACCTTAGTGTGTTTAAGGTACCATAAATCATGGGTGATGGTGGTTAATGTGCAATTCATACTTATCCTGATAAAATAACTACACAGAAAATCACATCGCTTCTTTTCTTCATCTAAACTATTAGACATTGTTACGCTTTAATGAAGTATATTGAAACGAAAATTCTGATACAAGTTAATTAGACATTTAAAGTGTTAGAAGTAAATTACAATGCTGTTCATGTTGTGAAAAATGAGAGCCATATTTTATATTTATTCAGTAGGATTGAGCACTTGGAATAAATGAAAACAGTGAGGTGCTGGCAAGGGGAATTGGCAAAGTAATTCTGTTACAATGTAACAAGTTTGTATGATAGAGAGGAGAGGTTGCATACATAAAGCACCTACTGTGTGTGAGGTCCTGTCTCAAATATAATCTATATGTCCTTATGAATTAAGGACATGTCCTTTGGACCATGAGACAGGAAGAGCAAAGTCAGGATGACTGAGAGGTTTAGTAAATGCCTCTAGATCAAAGGTAGTAAGTGGGTAAGTGGTTGTCTACAGTTCTCTTTTCTACACTATAATGACTACAAATTGAGGAAGACTTGGAAGGACTATGAGGATCATTAACACTCAAGAATCTGGATTGCTACTGACAGAGACATCAGATTTTTTCAAAGGATAATTTATCACAAGAGTTTCTATTTAAAAAATCCATGATAACAGTATGAGAAATGAAACAGAGAAGGGAGCTGTTGGAAACACAAATAGTTGAAAGAACCCTGAAAGTGTTTCAGAAATGATTATCTTCTCAATCAACTTAGGTATCTGGTCAATGAACAGTCAACTCTTAGGAAGTCAATTGAAAGGGTATAGAGGGCCAGGTGTGGTGGGTAATGCCTGTAATCCCAGCATTTTGGGCGGCGGTGTCAGGCAGATAACTTGAGCTCACGAGTGTGAGACCAGCTTAGGCAACTTGGTGAAATTCGACCTCTATAAGAAATAAAAAAATTAGCCGGGTGTGATGGAGCATGCCTGTAGTCTCAGCTATTCAGGTGGCTGAGGTGGGAAGGTTGCTTGAACCTGGGAGGCAAAAGTTGCAGTGAACTGAGATCACGCCACTGCACTCCAGCCTGGGTGACAGAGCCAGACCTTGTCTCTTGTCTCAAAATAAAAATAAAAATAAAAGGTACAGAGAGCATGGACTGAAAAAGGTTGAGTGAGGCTTTTGACTCATGTGCTCATGTGAGAGTTGGTGGAAGGAGATGCCATAAACACAGAAATGAGCCCATTATATGAATAAATTAATCTTTGGCATACAAATTATTATAAAAGCCAAAGCTCCACAATAATGTAGACATAGCAAGTCAATAATTTAGTGGTTTTTGACATGCCTCAATCTTAGCAACCATAAAGTGTGACTGATAATTGTTTTAGTGTCCTATTGATTTATATTGACCTTTTCATTATACAAACAAATTTGTAGGATCCATTCGTAGATTTTTGTCTGTTAATCGGTCTACTTTTATATGTTACCCGTTGTGGTTTAAAAAAATAGGAAAGTCAGCTGGGCGAGGTGGGTCACACCTGTAATCCCAGCACTTTGGAAGGCTGAGGCAGGCGGATCACTTACGGTCAGGAGTCTGAGACCAGCCTGATCAACATGGAGAAATCCCATCTCTACTAAAAATACAAAATTAGCTGGGTGTGGTGGTGAATGCCTGTTACCCCAGCTACTCAGGAGACTGAGGCAGGAGAAATCGCTTAAACGCAGGAGTCAGAGTTTGTGGTGAGCCAAGATGGTGCAATTGCACCAGGCAGGGTGGCACACACTTGTAAACCCAGCTTCAGAGGCTGAGAAAGGAGAATCTCTTGACCCTAAGAGTTCAGCCAGGACAACATAGTGAGTCTCTGTCTCAAAAACTAAAATAACTATTTCTGAACTTAAGTTCCATTCAGGTCAAGACACTTCTGTAAGTGACAAGAACATTTAATCCATCTCTAAAGCATGGAGCACTTTGGGAATGTAACCACATCAACACAGTTTTGTTGTTGCTGTTGACTGTTTACATTATTAAGTGAAGAAAAATGGGTGCCCTTTACAGATTTTTTTAAGATTAGGAAACAAAAAGAAATCAGGAGTTCAATTAGGACTGTAAGGTGGATGCCTAATGATTTTCCATTGATAACTCTTTGCAAAATTGCGCCTATTTGATGAGAGGAATGAGCAGGAGCATTCTTGTGGTGGAGAAGGACTCTCTGGTGAAGCCTTCCTGGGCAATTTTCTGCTAAAGCTTTCTCCAACTTTCTTAAAATACTTTTATAATAAGCAAATGTTATTTTTGTTTGGCTCTCCAGAAAGTGAGCAAGGAAAATGCCTTGAGCATCCCAAAAAACTGCTGCCATGACCTTTGCTCTTTACTGGTCCACCTGGGCTCAGACTAGACCTCCTACACATCTTGGTGGCCATTGCTGTCACTGTGCTTTGTCTTCAGGATTGTTCTGGTAAAGCCATGTTCCATCTCCTGTTATAATTCTAAAGGCCTCAGGATCTTGATGCCACTTGCTTAAAATTTCTATTCTTTTCTGCAACCGGTCTGGGCACAACTGTTTTGGCACCCATCAAGTAGGAAGTTTGCATGACTATAATGTTTCAGTAAGAATCGCGTAGGCTGGGCTAGGCACTATGGCTTATGCCTGTAATGCCAGCATTTTGGGAGGCCAAGGCAGGGGGATCACCTGAGGTAGGGAGTTTGACAGCAGGCTGACCAACATGGAGAAACCCCATCTCTACTAAAAATACAAAATTAGCTGGGGGTGGCACATGCCTGTAATCCCAGCTACTCGAGAGGCTGAGGCAGGAGAATTACTTCAACCTGGGAGGCGGAGGTTGTGATGAGCCGAGATCGTGCTGTTGCACTCCAGCCTGGGCAACAAGAGCGAAACTCCATCTCAAAAAACAAAACAAAACAAAACAGCTTTATAAAATAACCTAGGAATTAATTTGGCACCTGGCAAGGAGGAGGGATTATCATTGATATTTGGCCAAACATTTTCTCTTAAACAGCCAGAAAGGGCCGATCTTAACTTCTAAAACGCTGGATGGTCAGGATGGCTCACACCTGTAATCCAGCACTTTCAGAGGCCGAGGCAGGCAGGTCACATGAGGTCAGGTGTAGTGAGTGAGCCAAGAATGCACCACTGCATTCAAGCCCGGATGAGCAAGACTCAGTGGACAGTTTGCCACTCTGGTCTTCATCTTCAAAATTGTCCTATCCCTTCCTAAAATGACTTATCCATTTGTAAACTGCAGATTTCTTTGGGGCATTGCCCATAAGCTTTTTATAAGGCATCAATGACTTCATCATTCTTCCACCAGACCTTCACCACAAATTTGATGTTGGTTCTTGCTTCAATTTTAGCAGAATTCATGTTGCTCTAAGAGAGGCACTTTACAAACTGATGTCTTATCCTTCTTAGTGCCTCAAACTGGTCTCCATTCAGACGTTACAAGTTAGTACAAGGTTTTTTGGGGGTGCAAAAATAGTATGAAATTCATGCATAGTTTATTCATAATATGCATTTTCCATGAACGTTTTGAAGATTCCTTATATTTATAAACCAACATATTCTTGGACTGATGGTTCATATCCATCAGCTTATTCTACTTTATCACCTATTTCGGCCCCAGTGGCTTTTTCAGAACTACCTTCACCAAGAAGCTGATGAGTTTTCCCAATTCAAACTTAGGCTTCTTCAGCATTTTAACTTTTCTAATGAAAACATCAGGGAGAGGATAGGTTGGCAAGATTTTTTTCTGTATCTTTTTGAATCCTGTCTGTAATGAATTTATTGATCACTTCTTTCTTTTTATTTTATCTTATTTTTTGGTTTTTTTTAGATACGGGGATTCACCATGTTGGCCAGGATGGTCTTGATCTCTTGACCTTGTGATCCGCCCATCTCGACCTCCCAAAGTGTCAGGATTACAGGCGTAAGCCACCGCACCCGGCCTGATTACTTCTTTCAAGTCATTTGTTTGCACTTCTCAGGTCATAATTTCCATCATGATCTTCTGGATTTGGCCTAACTGTTGGTGCTAAGCATAGGGGTTCTTCCACACCCAATTGTTGTTTTTGTTATTGTTTTGTTTAGTAAAATCAACACAGAACAGATGAAGCTAGTAAGCACTGGTAGTCTTGACATGAGCTTCAGTTACCGTCTGACATACTTTGACCATGGAACACATTTTGCCATGGGTAAGAGCCATGCCATGGAAGCGAATCAGGCAATTATTGCCCTGAACATCTTCAGTAAGCAGCTTGAATTTTCTTTTCTTTTTTTTTTTTTTTTGAGATAGAGTTTCGCTCTTGTTACCCAGGCTGGAGTGCAATGGCGCGATCTCGGCTCACCGCAACCTCCGCCTCCTGGGTTCAGGCAATTCTCCTGCCTCAGCCTCCTGAGTAGCTGGGATTACAGGCACGCGCCACCATGCCCAGCTAATTTTTTGTATTTTTAGTAGAGACGGGGTTTCACTATGTTGACCGGGATGGTCTCGACCTCTTGACCTCGTGATCCACCCGCCTCGGCCTCCCAATGTGCTGGGATTACAGGCTTGAGCCACCGCGCCCGGCCAGCAGCTTGAATTTTCTAAATGCAACTTCATTATTTGGCAGATCAGCAAGACTCACATTAAACACACGACCCTTGAGGCCATCAGATGCAATTTTAATTCCTTGGGTCCTGGTGACTAGTGTCTTTCCAGTATTTCTTATATCGAACATAGCAGGTGCTTTCACATTATACCAATCTTTCTTAGAAAATGGGTCAAGCACTTTCTTCTTGGCTCCCTCTGTGCCACCTTTCATAAGGTGTTTGTTCTTGCCAACCACCAAGGTGCTGCTCAGAGAGCCAAAAAGCAACAGACAGTTTAATCACATAATATTTAGAAGTAAAACTGAGCTGGTTGGCTCAAGCCAACCTCCCACCTCAGCTTCCTGAGTAGCTGGGATGACAGGTGTGTGCCACCACATCGTAACCTCAAATTCCTAGGCTCAAGCAATCCTGCCTCAGTTTCCTGTGTAGCTGGGATTACAGGTGTGAGTTTCCATGCCTGGCTATTTTGTGTTTTCTACTTATCCTGCATGCTAATGATTTTTAAAACTCCCTTTGCCAACCTATAGAAGAATTGTTTCCCTTAATAATGGCTTTTTCCTATTTTGGCTGGGTATAAATTCTATTTCTATTCATTAAAAAAATTTAATATGCCGGGAGTGGTGGCTCAAGCCTGTAATCCCAGCACTTTGGGAGGCTGAGGCAGGTGGATCACGAGGTTAGGAGATCGAGACCATCCTGGTCAACATGGTGAAACCCCGTCTCTACTAAAAATACAAAAAATTAGCTGGGCATGGTGGTACGTGCCTGTAATCCCAGCTACTCAGGAGGCTGAGGCAGGAGAATTGCCTGAACCCAGGAGGCGGAGGTTGCGGTGAGCCGAGATCGCGCCATTGCACTCCAGCCTGGGTAGCAAGAGCAAAACTCCGTCTCAAAAAAAAAAAAAATTTAATATACACTATCTCAAATATATGTTTTCTGACAACATCTCAAGCAGTGTTTTACAATCAGTGGGTCATGACTCAGTGGGAAATGAAATCAGTTTAGTATGTCAAAACTAGCACTAAAAAAAAAAATAAAGGCCAGTCGAGGTGGCCAATGTCTGTAATCCCAGCAATCTGGGAGGCCGAGGTGTATCACCTGAGATCAGGAGTTTGAGACCAGCCTGGCCAACATAGTGAAACCTCGTCTCTACTAAAACTACAAAATTAGCTGGGCATGGTGGCGCATGCCTGTAATTTCAGCTAATTGGGAGGCTGAGGCAGGAGAACTGCTTGAACCTGGGAGTTAGAGGTTGCAGTGAGCTGAGGTCACGCCAGTGCACTCCAGCCTGGGCAACAAGAGCAAAACTCCATCTCAAAAAAAAAGAAAGGAAAAAAAAGTAAGAAAGAAAAAAAGAAATATGATAAAAAATAAATCGTAGAGATTCTTACAATAACTATATTGATATTAAATTTTTAAATATTTTTATGTTAGTGCTGTTACATGTAAGAGAGGTAAGTATTGTTTTCAGGTAGGTTTGTTTTAATTATTTTCTTTTGTCTATGTATGTGTACAGTGGCTTCTAATATGAAATGTTTTTTACTCTTGGTCACTGCTTTAAGACTAAAAGACACCAATCTTATAGTTGATCAATATAAATCCTCACTACACAAACAAAGCACAACACATTAGAATAATTAGTTCCTATTGGTGCCCCACCCCCTCCCATTGCCTACCCACCCAAGAGCTGATAAAGGTGTGGAGTTATAGGTTCTTATTTTAATTTAAAATATATAAGTATTGAACTTATTTAACTTAACACTATGTTTGACTAATTTCTTTGCTCACCATGGCCTCGTGTCCCGGACAGATTCGTTCCGGTTTCACATGTCTTCTTTCTGGATTACGTCCTTTAGTAATTCTTTCATAGTAGGTCTGTGGGTAGTAAACTTTCTGAGTCTTTGAAATGCTGGTAAATGGCTTTTTCCTATTTTGGCTGGGTATAAAATTCTAGGTTCTTTTAATGATGATTTTTTTGGGGTGGGGTAGCAGAGCAAGAGGAGGAAGCCAGAAACAATTGGAATTTGGGGTGATAGCTAAAGTCTTTACCTAATTTATTAAGAGTCTAAATTAATTTATTTACTGATATAATAGAAATATAATTTTACTATTTGATTACTACTTTTCAATATTTAGTTTTTATAGTGTTTCAAAAATGTTAAAGGAATGCTCTTACATATTCAATGTGTAACTCAAAAATAAATTTTGAATAAAAAAGGACACTTACATGTAAGGGAGAGCTTGGATCAATTCTGAATCTTCTGGGGCTTGGGCTTCTACCAAACTTACAGCCATTAAAGTACATACTCCATGAACAGCCAAAAGAGAATGAAGCTCCACAAGTTTCTGGATCAATTCCTTGACAAGTACAGGTACGACTGCAAGATCATAATCACAAGAGAGTGAATTGATAAAGCAGTACAATACCTGAGACAGAACATTTCAGTTTCACATAGCTTTAGGAGTATAGATGGGTAAAGAACCAGTTATAACACTTGTCTATTTTAATTACTTATTTAAAGTAGCTTTTTTTTTTTTTTTTTTTTGAGACAGAGTTTCGCTCTTATTACCCAGGCTGGAGTGCAATGGCGCGATCTCGGCTCACCGCAACCTCCGCCTCCTGGGTTCAGGCAATTCTCCTGCCTCAGCCTCCTGAGTAGCTGGGATTATAGGCACGCGCCACCATGCCCAGCTAATTTTTTTTTTTTTTTTTTTTTTGTATTTTTAATAGAGACGGGGTTTCACCATGTTGACCAGGTTGATTTCGATCTCTCGACCTTGTGATCCACCCGCCTCGGCCTCCCAAAGTGCTGGGATTACAGGCTTGAGCCACCGCGCCCGGCTAAAGTAGCTTAATGTTAACAATAAAAAGCTAACTTTTATTTTTTCAAGATGTCTCACAAAAATAAAAAAATTAAAATAAATAAATAAAAAGAAATAAACAAAAAAAAATGGTATCTGACTAGGGGACCAGGGTGGACTATACTTCATTATAACCAAATTTCTAGGGAAAATATTTGGTCATGACTGCAAATCCAAATAAATGGGAATAAACCATACAGATATAAAATATTCAGTCTTGTTTGAACTGGAGATGTCTGAGACGAGGAAATAAAGAACCAGGTTTTTTGGTTTTTTTTTTGAGATGCAGCCTCAGCCTATCACCCAGGCTGGCATGCAGTGGTGCAATCTCAGCTCAATGCAACCTCCATTTGCCAAGTTCAAGTGATTCTGCTGCTTTAGCCTCCCAAGTAGCTGGGATTACAGGCATGCGCCACCACACCTGGCTAATTTTTTTTTTTTTTTGGTAGAAATAGGTTTCACCAGATTGACCAGTTGGATCTCAAACTTCTGACCTCAAGTTATCTCCCCATCTCGGCCTCCCAAAGTGTTGGGATTACAGGTGTGAGGAACTGCACCTGGCCAGAACATGGTTTTTAAATCCTGAATTTGGGACAGGAACAGTGGCTCACGCCTGTAATCTCAGCACTTTGGGAGGCCAAGGTGGGTGGATCACCTGAAGTCAAGAGTTCGACCAGCTTGGCCAACATGATGCAACCCCATCTCTATTAAAAATACAAAAATTAGTCACGCACAGTGGTGGACACCTGTAATCCCAGCTACATGGCAGGCTGAGGCAGGAGAATCGCTTGAACCCTGGAGGCTTTAAGTGAGCCAAGATCGTGCCACTGCACTACAGCCTGGGAGACAGGGTGAAACTGTCTCAAAAAAAAAAAAAAAAGATAAATCGCGATTTGTTCCCTATCACAAATGAAAGTTAGAACATCTTATTACCTCTTTGTAATTCAGCTCCTTTATATCTAAAATGAGACTGATATAATTTCCTGAGGATTGAAAAGTAATATATATTGTATATAAAAACAGTTTCTCGGCAGGGCATGGCAGCTCACGCCTGTGATCCCAGCACTTTGGGAGGCCAAGGTGGGTGGATCACAAGGTCAAGAGTTGGAGACAAGCCTGGCCAACATGGTGAAAACCCCTCTCCACTAAAAATACAAAAAATAGCCGGGTGTGGTGGCAGGCGCCTGTAATCTCAGCTACTCGGGAGGCTGAGGCAGTAGAACTGCTTGAACCCAGGAGTCGGAGGCTGCAGTGAACCAAGATCGTGCCACTGCACTTCAGCCTGGGTGACACAGCAAGACTCTGTCTCAGGAAAAAAAAAAAAATTTTATCAATTTAAAAAACTTTAAAAAGTACATAATAGAAAAAATGGAGCAGAAAACCGGTTTCATTTAATTAAATCTTAAGTGTATCACTTTTAGGGCATTTCTGAAGGCTTAAACTAAACTATATCGTAATAATGATAATGAAAGAAGCATATATTCTTCTTGTAGTTCTAAAATTGTATGCTTTTCCAATCCCATTACTGGGTATATATCCCAAGGAATATAACTCATTCTACCATAAAGACACATGCATGTGAATGTTCACTGCAGTGCTACTCACAATAGCAAAGACATGTAATCAACCTAAATGCCCATCAATGACAGATTAAAGAAAATGTGGTACATATACATCACAGACTAGTATACAGCCATAAAAAAGAACACAATCGCTCTCTTCCCAATGCCCAAGATGCCGAAAGGAAAGAAGGCCAAGGGGAAGAAGGTGGCTCCGGCCCTTGCTGTCGTGAAGAAGCAGGAAGCCAAGAAAATGGTGAATCCACTATTTGAGAAAAGGCCTAAAAATTTTGGCACTGGCCAGGCGCGGTGGCTCAAGCCTGTAATCCCAGCACTTTGGGAGGCCGAGGCGGGTGGATCACAAGGTCAAGAGATCGAGACCATCCTGGTCAACATGGTGAAACCCCGTCTCTACTAAAAATACAAAAAATTAGCTGGGCATGGTAGTGCGTGCCTGTAATCCCAGCTACTCAGGAGGCTGAGGCAGGAGAATTGCCTGAAACCAGGAGGCGGAGGTTGCGGTGAGCCGAGATCGCGCCATTGCACTCCAGCCTGGGTAACAAGAGCGAAACTCCGTCTCAAAAAAAAAAAAAAAAAAAAAAATTTTGGCACTGGACAAGACATCCAGCCCAAAAGAGACCTCACCCACTTTGTGAAATGGCCCCGCTATATCAGGTTGCAGCGGCAGAGAGCCATCCTCTATAAGCGGCTGAAAGTGCCCCCTGCAATTAACCAGTTCACCCAGGCCCTGGACCGCCAAACCACCACTCAGCTGCTTGAGCCGGCCCACAAGTATAGACCAGAGATGAAGCAAGAAAAGAAGCAGAGGCTGTTGGCCTGGGCCCAGAAGAAAGCGGCTGGCAAAGGGGACGTCCCCACTAAGAGACCACCTGTCCTTTGAGCAGGAGTTAACACCGTCACCACCTTGGTGGAGAACAAGAAAGCTCAGCTGGTGGTGATTGCACATGATGTGGATCCCATAGAGCTCGTTGTCTGCTTGCCTGCCCTGTATCGTAAAATGGAAGTCCCTTACTGCGTTATCAAGGGGAAGGCAAGACTGGGACGTCTAGTCCACAGGAAGACCTGCACCACTGTCGCCTTCACACGCGTTAACTCGGAAGACAAAGGTGCTTTGGCTAAGCTGGTGGAAGCTATCCGCACCAACTACAATGACAGATATGATGAGATCCGCCGTCACTGGGGAGGCAATGTCCTGGGTCCCAAGTCTGTGGCTCGCATTGCCAAGCTTGAAAAGGCAAAGGATAAAGAACTTGCCACAAAACTGGGTTAAATGTACACTGTTTTCTGAAAATAAAAATAAAACATTGCAAATTTTCCTTCAAAAAAAAAAAAAAAAAAAAGAACACAATCGTGTCTTTTGTGGGAACATGAATGAAGCTAAAGGCCGTTATCCTTAGCAAATTAACACAGGAAATAAAATGAAATACTGCATGTTCTCACTTTAAGTGGGATTTAAGTGATGAGAATTCATGGACCGAAAGAGGGGAACAACAGACATTGGGGCCTACCTGAGAATGGAGGTTAGAAGAAAGAGAGGATCAGAAAAAATAACCACTGGATACGAGTAGTTGGGTGATGAAATAAGCTGCACAGCAAACCCCTATGACACGAGTTTACCTACAAGAAAAACCTGCAAATGTACTCCTGAACCTAAAATAAAAGTTAAAAAAAGAATTGCGGCCAGGTGCAGTGGCTCACGCTTGTAATCCCAGCACTTTGGGAGGCCAAGACGAGTGGATCACAAGGTCAAGAGATCAAGACCATCCTGGCCAACATGGTGAAACCCCGTTTCTACTAAAAATACAAAAAATTAGCTGGGCGTGGTGGCAGGTGCCTGTCAGTAGTCCCACCTACTCAGGAGGCTGAGGCAGGAGAATCACTTGAACCTGGGAGGTAGAAGTTGCAGTGAGCTGAGATCATGCCACTGCACTCCAGCCTGGGTGACAGAGTGAGACTTTGTCTCAAAAAAAAAAAAAAAAAAAAAAGAATTCCATGTTTTTAAATTTCATCAGAAAGGAAGAACAAAAATAACATTTAAAAAATTAAGTAAAAAATAAAATAGGCCGGGCGCGGTGGCTCAAGCCTGTAATCCCAGCACTTTGGGAGGCCGAGGCGGGTGGATCACGAGGTCGAGAGATCGAGACCATCCTGGTCAACATGGTGAAACCCCGTCTCTACTAAAAGTGCAAAAAATTAGCTGGGCATGGTGGCACGTGCCTGTAATCCCAGCTACTCAGGAGGCTGAGGCAGGAGAATTGCCTGAGCCCAGGAGGCGGAGGTTGCGGTGAGCCGAGATCGCGCCATTGCACTCCAGCCTGGGTAACAAGGGCGAAACTCCGTCTCAAAAAACAAAAAAAAAAAAACAAAACAAAACAAAAAAAATAAATAAATAAATAAAATAAGCCAGGCGCGGTGGCTCATGCCTATAATCCCAGCACTTTGGGAGGCCGAGACGGGTGGATCACGAGGTCAAGAGATCGAGACCATCCTGGTCAACATGGTGAAACCCCGTCTCTACTAAAAATACCAAAAAATTAGCTGGGTATGGTGGCGCGTGCCTGTAATCCCAGATACTCAGGAGGCTGAGGCAGGAGAATTGCCTGAACCCAGGAGGCGGAGGTTGCGGTGAGCCGAGATCGCGCCATTGCACTCCAGCCTGGGTAACAAGAGTGAAACTCCGTCTCAAAAAAAAGAGATCGAGACCATCCTGGTCAACATGGTGAAACCCTGTCTCTACTAAAAATACAAAAATTAGCTGGGCATGGTGGCGCACGCCTGTAGTCCCAGCTTCTCGGGAGGCTGAGGCAGGAGAATTGCTTGAACCCAGGAGATGGAGGTTGCTGTGAGCCGAGGTCGCGCCATTGCATTCCAGCCCAGGTAACAAGAGTGAAACTCCGTCTCAAAAATAAAATAAAATAAAATAAAATAGCATAATG